TTCCAGTTAAACTGTTCTATAGTCATATTGTGGTAAGAAATTATTTATTTCTTTGGTAGCTTATGATTTTGAGTTATGTAATGATACACTGCTTTTTGTTTGTTTATTGTGGTATAGCGGATGTATCTATTTTCATGATTATAAAAATTATTTATGAGTAGATATTAAAATACAATTATAATAGCTTATGATACTTACAGAAAGGCAAATTGCTCATCAAGATAGACCAGTTTACTAAGCAATGTCCTGTAATAGTACCCTAGCATGTCAAGTGTTGAAATACTTCTCTTTTTTTTTCCAAAATTCTTTTTATTAATTATTCCATAAAAAGAAACAAAAATTAACACACAGATAAAAGAAACGAAACACAAGAAAGAGAAGACTTACAAAGAAATAAGTAGAAAGTACACAAGATTCTTATTTTCACAATTCTCCTATAACATAACTGTTTCTTTCAGGACTTCCTTCAGCTTGGCCGTGAATCATTCGAAGCAAATAAATAAAGTTACACGTTTCATCGTTTATATTGTCATTGTATCCAATTTTGTTCTCTATTTTCCTTACACAATAACCATGATCTATCACAGTACATCTCTGAATCCCTTTAGCGTTATTTGTCCTTCACTAATTCCTTCCAGATAATCTACGTATTTTCCCCAATCCTTAATGAACACTTGGTCTTTTATATATCTAATTTTCCCCGTTAATTTATCGAGCTCTGCATATTCCGATAATTTAGATCTCCACTCCTCCACTGTTGGGGTTTCCTGCTGTTTCCACCTCTGGGCTATTAGGACCCTTGCTGCCGTAACCGCATAGTATACCAGTCTACGATCCTCCTTTTTTATCTCTTGTCTTAATATCCCTAATAGGAAGATTTCTGGTTTCTTTATGAACGTGTACTTTAATATCTTTTTAAATTCGGTATATACCTTCTCCCAGAACTGTTTTACCCTTCCACACTCCCACCACATGTGGTAGAAGGAGCCCTCTGCATATTTACACCTCCAACACTTGTTATCCACCTTGTACATTTTTGAAAGTTTCATAGGTGTCAAGTGCCACCTATAAAACATCTTCATGACATTTTCCTTGAAATACTTCTCAGGGAATTGAAACTAATTGAGAAATGGCTTAGTGAGCTTTAGTCTAGGCTGCTACTCCACATTATTACAATTCAGTAATTAGACATTATTTACTTCAAGTTATTTCATTTTATTTACTGCCTAGTGTTCATAAAGTGTGTTCTTTGTTCAGTATATTGAGAGGTCAGATGTTTTGAGCTTTTAATTCTACACAGAAAACATACTGAGGAAATATTCTAAGGGACAATGTGATATGGGTGACAAATTATGATATGCAAGCTGCTACTTGATATATTCCTTACAAGGGGATTTTCTGGCAACATGTCTACTCTCCTACGAAACATAACTTTCTAAATATGCGTAATGCTTCAAAACAATACAGAGCCTTTTGAGAGAGGGACTAAGTCCAGACTAGCATAAATAACCCAGGAAACACTGTTGCAGACATTTCTGATTCCTGATAACTCTGGTTTCCTGGTAACTGGGGTTATCAGGGACCAGTTTAGCTCTCACTGGACAAACTACAAGCTGGAGGCCATAGGTCGCAGCTTGTAGTTTGGAGAAAGCTAAATCACAAGCCCAGGTTCAGACAGCAGCAGGATAACCAAGGCGGAGCAAAGCAGCTGCAATCTCCCACCAGAGCCCACGTGATTACACAGTCATGCTAAGCCATGCTTTGACTTAGCACAATGTGCGAGCCAGACCATTGGCTCCAAAAAGCTGCTTAACTGTCACTAAGATGGAAAATTGCTTCAGCCAGGCAGGAGGCTGAATGGAGGAAGTGCGGCTTGAATGCAGACAGCCTGTGTTATATCTGAGAATAAAATATAGGGCTTTTTAATTGTCTGAAAGCACTTCTAGATGTTCCAAAATTTTGTTTTCATCCTTAGCTGTCATTTTTGTGGCTTTAATGGGAATGCACAAGTGTGAAGTTGCTCTTTACAATTGTATTTTGCGAATAAACACCTGTGTGATCTAAATCTTCTACACAGTTACAAACTGAGCCTGAGCTGTAAATCTGTTTCCGAATTCAATGGCTCTCTCAACCATTGTATTTTAAGAATGAACTATGGGAGTGGTATTGCAGGGAATGAGGTAGTTGATTCCTTAAACAAGTATACAAAGAAACAAATTGTGAAAATCTCTATTCATGTTGCCCTTCAAAGAGTAGAGAAGAGAATGGATAATGCCCTTTAGCTTACAAGTTGTGTTCAGTGTTTTACATTGAAAGAGTGTATTTGTTACATTTGTGAAGACAATAGGCTCCATAAACAAAAAAACTGCACAACTTAAAACTTGCTCAAAACTGTGGGACAAAATTTAAGCTTATAGGAGAAAAGGTATTAGGATATTCTATCTGTCTATTTTTATTTTGAATTACATTAAGAGATTAGTAAGTCAAAAACCTAAGAAATTAGTGTCTTACAGGCTTTCTGTTGCCAAAACACGCTATGCAAATAATTGCAAGTTTCCAAATTAATTATCCTTTAAATATTACTTAGATAAATGTGGGATTTGGCCATAATGGCAAAACTAACAATTTATATAGGGACAAAAGAGTGCAGACTAGATAGTAGTGAGATAACTTCATAGTATACTGGAATCTTTTCATTGAATAGTATAAAATAATTTACTAAATCCAAATATAGTTTGCTTTTAATTGTTTTGCATCAGCTGAGAGATTAGTAAATGAGCTCCTGGCCCTCAGGGAACAGGATTTTCCCTTGAGGCCAAGGTGGTTGACCTGGAGAAGCAGAGAGGGTAGTGCATGCTGCCTTTGGGGATACTGTATTTTGGTGTGTCCCAGTTCCAGGATGATAGCTTCCCTGCTGTCATGGAGAATGAGTGTCTTGGGGAAGGAGGTCATCACTCTGAGAGGAGGAGGAAGTGATTCTTAAGAAGGGACTCATTCCTTGTGTGATGGGTAGTTATCCTCTCATGCCAAGGCTACTCCTCCAGAAGGTTGAGAAAAGCTGGTAGTGAGCGATTATGTCTTTAGGGACACAGGAAGCTGGGAATGTGAAGGGTCTGCAGAGAAAGTGGTGGGTGTCGCCTCTCAGCTAGATAGCCTGGTTGATATGTGTAGGGGAAAAGACACCGGTTATGGTGCAGGTTGGCACCAATGACACTGGGAAATGTAGTTGTGATATTCAGGAAGCAAAATATAGGCATCTGGGTTGTAGATTGAAAGATGGCTTTCTCAGGGATGCTGCTGGCTCCACATGCAGTGCCAACTAGAATGGCACAGCTGTGTAGTCTCACTGAGTGGATGAGACAACGGTGCCAGTTGGTGAGGGTTGGAGTTGGTGGGCACTGGGGAACATTTGGAAATAAGCTGGGCCTGCACAAAAGGCATAGGTTGAGATGACCATGCTATCTCTGCAGTACGGACTACTGGAGATGCTTCTCCCTGCCTTTCTGTGAGAACATTTGCAATCAGCATTCTTGTTACCTTCTGAGAGTCGCTCCCGTTCATTGGAAGAGAACATCCCCTTGTCTTTCAGAATGGTGATTAGGAAATCCTGAATGTTAAACCTCCCGAGGTCTTATTATCCAGTCAATTTCACGCATGCATGTAGAGTTCAGTGAAAATGGGAATGTGCAAATGATGCAGAAATTGGACCCATGGAGTTTCATACTTCTAACATGGAGCTCTTTCTATCCAAAGCATGATTGGCTTTTGATTCTTTAAACTAGAAAACTCTGCTTTGAAATCAGTGGGATTCAAGAGGCTCCCAGAATAATAGAAGCTTTGGATATTTTGCCTATTATCTCTTTTTTAAAATATTTCAGCTGGTAAAAAGACAATGCTAGATGATTTTTAATGTTTAGTTTCCATACTTCAGGTATTAATCGCACCAGCGTTTGAAAATTACATTTGATTTCATTTTGATTATTCATTGGCCATACCCAAGTACCTGCTTCACAGCAGTAAATCACATATCAGCTACAAGCCTATTAAATCCTTTGTCTTAGGGCTGTCAGACATTAGAAATTTCAACTGATGAATTGCCTGACTTTTAACTAGTTAAATTCAAATACCTGCACTGGGAAATCACAGAAATGTTGAGGATACTAAAGGGCAAGTTCAGTTATTTTTCCAGTTTAGGATCAAATAAAAGCCACTAATTGTCATTAGAAAGCAAACTTTAATATTTCTGTGTCCTTCACAGTATATTGATAAAACCCTAACAGCTGGGTACCAGGTTACCATCTCCTATAGGATTTCACTCAGGTTTTAATATGTTGTAAGAAAGGCCTTTCTGTCCTTTTTCCACCAACGTCTGAAGTGCATTTGGTAGGGATTTGGTGACTGAGCCCTGGCTCTGAGCCCTGGTCGGTGATCTTCCAACGAGAAATATATTTTTATTCATGCAGTCTGTGTACATAGTTACTTTATATATGTTGGATACTACAAATGTTCCTATAATAAATTTCATTTCCTTTTAAAGACACAAGTTGCGAATTATTTGTCCTTTTACTGTCTACATTTTGGGTATTCCAAGCTACACAACTAAGAACCACAGACTGAATATGTCAAACAATTCAACTTTTGGGTGTTTGATTTGGGTTATAGCATTGTATAATTGTGATTATTTCTAACCCCATGCCATACATATCCCCTGGTACAGGGGTGGAGGTGTAAGAAACTGACATGAGACATGTTCCCCCACTGATGGACCACAATTCTAACCCAGAACCCTTCTGGTTTATGAGTCTTTAGCAAACTAATCAATGATCCAGTTCAGTGATTTGGGATGAGCCTGGGAACACAGTGTTTTTGATACTGAGTGATCTTCCATACTTATTGCCACTTTATTCCTGTCATGTTTTGAGTATTAGCTATGACATCATGCCTACCCAACATTTTAGTTGTACTGTGATTAAAATTTTTTTTAAAAACTTTCTTTGCAGAGACTCTTCTAGATGACTTCCTTCTCACATATACAGTCTTCATGACAACAGATGATTTGTGTCAAGCTCTGCTAAGGCAATATCCTTCACTGGTGCATTAATTTAATATTCCCTAACCCACTTTACATTAGCTTTTAAATATGAGTCGTGGAGGAGGACCAAATGAACCTTCTTCATTTCTTAAATCTGAGATTTAATGTTTCCTTGGTTGTGGGTTCCTTAACTTGGAATACTTATTGTGCTAAAAACCATCAAGGGAAGGAAGAAATTATAGATGTTTCTTGCAGAAAACGAAAAGTATTGCACTTGGTGTCTCAGTGGACTTCACTTTACAAAGACTGGTTACATGAAGATGAGCATCTTAAGCAATTTCTGAAGGTATGTCCACACAGCTGCGTTTCAACACTATATGATAATGTTACAGATAGGTAGCCGTGTTGGTCTGCCATAGTCAAAACAAAAAAAATTCCTTCCAGTAGCACCTTAGTTGGTCTTTAAGGTGCTACTGGAAGTATATATTTTTTTGACTATATGATAATGTCATTGATATATGCTTGTAAATTGAGAAACAGATGGGAAGTGAACTTATTAAATGCAAAGACAACTTTACAGATTACTATAATTGAAGGGCATTGCTCTCTCTCTCTGAGCATGGGTGGTGGACCTGTTGCATGTGTGGCTTGGCATGCATTGTGGGATTTATAATGCATCTTTACCACAGCAGGTGAATTTGCCTAGTCAGTCCCCCACTTCTGTCTACCTACCCCATGTCACCTTGCTGCGTAATGGAGAAGCCTGGAAAGATAAACCTACCAAGGCACTGGGGTGAAGCTGTACAGTACTGAAGTGTCCACTTCACTTGAGTGCTACCATCTCAAACTCTGGACTTGATTTGTGGCATATTTGCCACTAAGGTTCACCACTACTTTTCTAAGATCATAATCATCACCCTGCCTCATGACTACCATTTGACTCTAGCACAATTCTCTCTGTTGGAGAGTTGATATTAAAGGGAATCTATTATGACTAAGATCTGCAGCTTATTTGATCAGAATGCATGAGGTCTTCTATTTTTGTGACCTTTTATAAGTTTTGTGTCAGCATTATTGAAGCATCAGCGGCATTTATGACAAGTGTACCACCATTCAGATAAACTGATCATCCCATTGTTGGGGTATCTGTTTGGAAAGGCATTATTAAAGGAGTTAAGACAAGGCTACCTGGGGGAAGAATCTTTCTTTTGAAAAAGAACCATCTGTATGCACATTGTAGTAAGGGAGAGTGAGAGAGAGTGACCAAGACTCCTGCTGAGCTGGAGCTGCCCAGAACTTTATGCTAAAACAAGCTCAGAAGCTAAACAGGACTGTAGCTTAGTGGCAGGTCATCTTCTTTCCACACAGAAGATCCCAGGTTCAGTACCCAGGATCTCCAGGCAGAGCTGGGTGAGAATCCTGGAGAACCACTGCAAATCTATGTACACAGTACCAACTTGGATGGTTCAATAGTCTGACCCAGCATAAGGCAGCTTTCTATGTTTCTATTGTTTTGTTTTATTAAAGGCTTATAAATATAAAGCGATAAGATCCTGAGATTTGAAATTCATTCCTGCATTCAAGACAGTATAAGTACAGTCTACTATTTGTTAGTATTGCTGTTGTACTTTTGATTGTTGGGCGGCAGAGCTGTGATGAATCTAGTATTACGCCGAGGAGAGAGAGATGCTTGGGAGCTTATGGCAGGCTTTAAGTAACATCCTGAAGTGTCACTTTAGAATGTTTGCACTGACTAATGAGAGTTGACACTTTTAACACCGTTACTTAGGAAGGGTACGGAGACTGCCTCTTAAGGCATCAGCTGTTGTTGACTGGTGGATGTGTTTTAAACAAATTATGCGCTGAGAGATTTTAGCTTGAAAGCATTTGTGCAGTTTTGCTTTAACAAGCTAACAACTGATTTCCTGAAAGGGGTGGTATGATGTTTTGTACTTTAGCCATCAGATCAATTTGATTGATTGATTCATTCTCTGTGTGTGTTTCTTTCTCTCTCTCTCAACCACTCCTTACTTTCAAGACAATATACAGGAATGTGTTAGATGATGTCTACGAATACCCTGTGCTTGAGAAAGACCTGAAAGAATTTCAAAAATTGCTGGGAATGCATCGTCGTCAGTAAGTTGCTGCTTTGCTTTTTAAGGCCTTTTGCAGAGTTATAATTAGTTTTCAGTTGACAATTTATGCTTTTGTTACTTGAGTGAAGTGAGGCCAGAAGCAGCGTAAGTGTCATTCCATGCGTTTAATATTTGTTCAGGCAACTACAAAGGAATAATTTGATATGACGTGTTTGACACATACAGCGTTAGCAGAAATAGAGTAATTCTGATTCCGTCACACTAATTCATCCTTCTACTATGACTTGTATTGTAAAAAGAAGATTTGTAGCTAGTTGTTACATTAATATGTCTTTAATATTTGCAGGAGGGAGGGAATTGTATTTAAGAATTTAGACAACAGAACCCGTCGCAAACCCACCCACTCACTGTGCTCTTTGGCCAACTGTTGTCCCAAACTCAGGCACAGCTGGCAGCGGACCAGAGTGAAGACTTTTCCGCTCTGGTCTGCCACCCAAGCACTGCGCCCCCCAGCTTGCCCAGGATCGGGCCATCTGAATTTAATGGATGGCGGGCTATCCCACCATCCTAAGCAGCTGGTCAGGGGAATTCCCCAATGACCAGACCACGAGGGAGTGCTCCCTGCCTCCCCAGAATTGAGAGGCCTTGCTGATGGGCCACAACTGCCACCCACCCTGTGGCTGGGTAAGCAGCCATTATTGATTTCTCTATATGGGAAGAACCTTTGAGCTGGTGGCCAATCCTTATCATTTTTTAAGTCTGTTGTGGTCACACCTGGTTTCCTGTATTTTTCAAAATACATGACGAGTGATTGAAATTATTTCACAATTTAAAGCAAGTAATTGCTCAACAATGGTTGACAGTGTATTCCTGGTTACTTCTGTATTTTCCTGTTAGCTGTGCTAGTGGTTCTGAAACTTTTGCACATTGCAGCCTTCTTCCTTTTTCAGACATCCTTCATTCCTTTCAGTTTTTTGACTGTGGTTACACCATATCCTAAAGCAGCTGACAAAATTGTGGACCTAAGTTGGAGATTTAAGCACAAATAACTGTGTGTTTTTTTCTTACAGGAGTGTGAGCTAAATACATTTGACTCCTACATTAAGGCATGCACTATGTTATATGATGCACAGTCATTAAAATTATATAATTGTTGAAAGACTGGATTAAGTATTGCCAAAGAACTTACTGGCTGAAGATGCGCTACGTATAGATTTTAAATAAACTTTAAATTCCTACATTGCTGGTTAGCACAGAATGCTGATCCATTTGGCTTTTAGGTGTGCAATGTTAAGATCTGCAGTTTTGTAAGAAAATTTCCATAGGAAAATAAGCACTTAAATCTTGTAAAATTATTTCTTGTCATATGAAACAAGGTGCTAGTTAATGACAAGCACTTCTGCCTTACATACAGTTGAGGTCAGTTGTAGCATCATGACTTCTCAGTAAACTGCAAGCTCATATCTGCACAGGCCGTATTGAATTCAGTAGGACTTATTTCCAGGTAATGCTACACTTGTTCCTTGGGCATAGCTTTTAATGCCCTCTTCTCTTTGCTCTTGTTAACGGTAAAGATCTGGAATATATCAACAGTTAGTTTCTGAATAGCAAGACTAATGTATTGTCTTTTTGTTTCAGCACTGTAGATGAATATTCACCTCACAGAAAGGTAATGCATATAATTGGTTACTGGTGTGTACCTTTCTTTTTTTAAACTGTCTAGTTCTTTCAATCTATAATGGCAAATGGCCATTAAATACACTGTTCTGTACAGGTAGCATTGCTAAAAGCATTTGTTCTTGACAGTTCACCTCTGCTTCTAGTCATGCAAGCTAAGCTAAAGTCGCTCTGGCATTATTAGTGTTTAACTAGTCTGTTCTGAGATGCCAGAATTCAGCAAAACCCAGTCAGCATGTCCTTGCCTGCTTCAAGTTAGACAGCTCTGAAACGGAGCAGATTTCAGCAAGCAAATCTGTAAGAGATACTGATTGCAAATGTCAGGGGGCTCTGTTGGAATAGAGGGTGTTGTGTTGTGTAGTGTGTGTGGGAGACAGAGAGAGGGAGAGAGAGAGGGGAGAATGTTACCCAGAGAGAGGGGGGGGAGAGAGAGACGAAAATGTTATCCAAAAATTTAGGCCAGACTGTGTTGCTGTGGAAATGTGATATTGTGGTCAAGGCGTTCACTATATTAAAGCTTAGGGGTACAATACTCTTCAAAATATGACGGTGGAAGCATAGAAAGCAGAAAATAAGATTGTGCTGAAATTTATTACAAAACCTTCTTGCAGTTATTCTCAGAATTCTTTCAAATTTGTACTACTTCCACTTGTCCAAAATGATAGCTCCCAGTTTATTTAGCCCAAACAGGGGGGGGTGGATTTCTTGTTCCCTTTTCTTTCTTTTTTTAAACCGCCCAACCATTTGCAGTCAGATTTATTTTCAATGTTTCAGTAATTGCATTTTGTTCATTTTTCTTTTCTTCCACCTCCCTCCCTCATAGCATAAAGCCATTTTACATCAGTTCAGTCTCAAGGAGAACTGGCTCCAGAACAGAGGGACTGTGAATGAAACAGAGGAAGGTAAGCATAATGGATGTGGAGCAAAGGAAACAAGGAGGATGTCATTATACTATATTTCTGCATATATGTTGGAAATAAAGAACCGTTTTCAGTGACAAAGGTAAAACCACTCAAAAGACCATAGAGCTATGAGGTGAAAAGCATCCAATGCAATGAAAATAATGTTTAGTCTTGTGTCAAATATGGCTCTCTTCCTATGGAAATGTAAAGTGTCAACTGCTACATTAAATTTTCTCCCAGCATCTATAATAAGGATAAAAAAATCACATGGTGGAGGTGAAAATATATAATAGTTTGAAAAATAAATTGGATATTGGGATCATTTCATGTATTTACATTTCAACCTTTCAGGTGAAATGCCTTAAGAGTTTAATATTAACTCAGCTAAAGATGAAACCTGAGTTGCCAGATTATATGTTCGGCCTTTAACATGATTGATTGGGTAACCTGTGGCCCTCCAAATGTCCCATCATTCCTGACCATTATCAATGTTGACTGGGGCTGATAGGACAACTCTAATCAGCATGGGCATCGGCAGGAATTGACTGAGTGGTTACACAGCCTGGGTAGCTAAACCTGACCTCTGAAAAAGTTGTATTCCTTCATTGGTTGTCAATTGATAGACCTGCTCTCCATCTAGTGGTGAATCTGGCGCCCAGATGGCTGCTTTTGGCTTACTGCTGAAAACCTCAGTACTTTGTCTGGCTAATTTCATCTCCCCCAACCCTTAATCAATTGCACTGCTGCTACAATAAGCATCATAGCCCCTCCCCCTTGCACTTCATACCTCCCTGGGTAGCTTAACAATACTAGACTACACTTCAGTGTTTTCCTATATATATCCATCCCACTCCTGTCAGCAAAATGAGTATAACAACACTTTTCATGACTGGCGTAACCCACACTCTCTCATCTGTGCTCCTGCCTACTGCAGTTTGATAATGATGGATGGTATCTGCATTGGCATCAACAGCATTTTTAAAAACTGTTTTTGACCTGAGTTAGAAAGATCAGGAGCTTTAGTCTTTGCTATTATCTTTTGTTTTTGATTTGATGCACTGCTCCCCAGTCACAGCTACACTAAGATTCTGGATATCTAAATGGTTTTCTATAGTGCACCACATCTCCACCAACTTAATACCAACTTAAGTTGCTTAAAAACAAGCCAAGATAAATAATGGGTATTCACTCTAGTTTCCTCTTTGTCTAATGGGCCAGATTTGCTTTCCTAAATGCCAGTCATTGCTATGAATTCATTCATTGGCTAGAGTACTTTTCTAGCTCTCCCGCCCCCCCAAGCTGATTTATGAAAATAAAACGATCCAGTTAAGGAGAGAATGCTAATGGGTAATGTTTCCCCAGCATAGCTATCCTCTCTGAAGAAGGGTGTCCTTTGCATGAAGAACTAAATACTGTGCTGGTCAGGTTTATTGCCAGTAAAAAAAAAAAGCAAAGGACCTCTGGACAGTTAAGTCCAGTCAAAGGCCACTATAGGGTGTGGTGCTCATTTCGCTTCAGGCCAAGGGAGCCAGCATTTGTCCGCAGACAGCTTTCCGGGTCATGTGGCCAGCATGACTAAACCGCTTTGGTGCAACGGGACACCGTGACGGAAACCAGTGACAGAAACCAGAATGGTGGTGCTGTGGTCTGAATCTGCGCAACAGGAGGGTGAGCACCTGTTCATCTGTCACAGCTCCTGCCAACCTAGCAGTTTGAAAGCACGCCAGTGCAAAGGGATAAATGGGTACTGCTGTGGTGGGAAGGTAAATGGCATTTCCACACGCTCTGGCACTCGTCACCGGTATCCCGTTGCACCAGAAGCTGATTAGTTGTGCTGGCCACATGATCTGGAATGCTGTGGACAAACGCCAACTCCCTCAGCCTGAAAAGCGAGATAAGCGCCGCACCTCATAGTCATCTTTGACTGGACTTAACCATCCAGGGGTCACCTTTATTGCCAGTATGGCATTATACACATTCAAATTGTGACTTGGTTTTGGTCTGGAAGCAGTATTAGGTTTTTTTGTCCTTGCATTTTTCTAGGAAATGTGCCTGTAGGTCCATGTGGCAGCAGCTGTGGCTTCAGCTGTCGAGGAATAGCTGTCAAACCAGATGTTAGCCAAAGCATCCCAGCAATTTGGAGATGTTGCACCCTTCAGTGAAATCTGCTTCTGTCTGTTGATTGAATTATTTTCTCTCTTTTCACAGTTTTTTGTCGTGTGTATATAACAGAACATTCTTATGTCAGCGTAAAAACTAAAGTATCCACTTCAGCTCAAGAGATCTTGAAAATTGTAGCAGAAAAGCTCCAGCATTCGCAGGAAGACTTGGCTCTGGTGGCTCTTTCATTCTCTGGGGGTAAATTATTTTCAGCTATCAGTAGACCCAGTTTTATTCTCCTTCATTTTCTGTATCTTATCTATAAAGAGAGGGCTGGCACTTTCTAGTGCAAGGATAGGGCTGTTCCCCTATGGGTCCACAGCTGGATGACCATAGTTACAATAAGGAGCTACTTAGCAGAGAGGAGTTTCCATGGCAACTGCTAATTCTTTGGTACTGTTGGATAATGTATTTCCACATCGGGTCTGGATTGCAAAGGAGTGTTCTCGTGTTCAGAAACATGTTATAAGGTTTGCCATTAAGAGATAAATCTCCCAGTTCATAATTTAAGCTAACCTGAGAGGTAGCTGTACAAAGGGACGTGACTGTGAAAGAGATATTTCCCCTTTGGACTAGCTGAAGTGTATTTGTACATGGAGGAAAGAAGGGGGAGGAAACTGAAAAAATACGACTTCTGGAAAAATGTATGTTTTGTAAGACAATGTAAGTAATGGGGTTCTCCCCCCCCCTAGTTTTAAAAGACCCCTGCCTAGAGTCCACACATCATTGTGAGAAATAAGTTTCAGATTTAATTCTTTAAAAAACAACAACCAAGCCCAATTACCTGCCCCTTTGGGGGTGGGTGGGAATTAGACTACTGCAGTTGATCTGTTTGATCAGCTTGGCTTTGGTATTTTACAGTAGGATTTTAGAGTCCCTGGAAATACGCTTAATTTTGTTACATCAGGATATTATATGAGGAAAATGCATAGAAAATGGTTAAACCGAAAATGTGATGGGGTTTATCAAAAGGCGACTGAGTGCATTTATTACACAGTGTAGATTCAAAGGTGCTCCTCTGATGTACATGTGTGTGCCCAACATATATAGACTGCTTTGTTTTAACATGTTTGCTATTTACTGTTTTCTGCCCATATTAATGAGGCACTTTTGCTGCATAAGCCGCACAGCAGTAGGTCAAGAGCTGTTACACCCATTCAGTTCAGGGATGTAAAGACAGGAGACGGACCTGAAAGCAACAGGAGCAATGGGAGATTTAGTTATCATCTGCCAGTAGGGGAGTAGTAGTAAGTGAATGAGACTGGGCTGATAGATAAATTCCTGGAGAAACTACTCTTAGTGGTTTCAGAAACTATAAGAAGCATAGATGTACTTACTCACGATAGATAGAGTGAATTCTGGCTCTAAGAATGCATTTTGTTCTGCAAAATATGTCAATATTTCTGTTTTTCTTCTATACTAAAGAAAAGCATGAATTACAACCAAATGACCTGGCAATCTCCAAATCCCTTGAATCGTCGGCTCGTATGTTCGTATTTCGGAAGAATCTGACAGATACTCTGGTAAGGTTGTGTGTGCAGGGTTCCAAAATCTTCTGTTTCCCTCAGTACCCAAAGTAGCTGTGAGTTGTAAGGCTGTACTAAAAACCATGCTAGGTACCTTTATTAGGCCAAGCAAAGTGTTCCAAAATAATGTGCAAGCTTTTGAGTTCCCTAGAACTCTTCATTGGACTAGAATAAAGCCTCGGAAGGGAGAGAGAAAAAACAGCTGGTGTTGAAGCCTTGAGTCTACATCAGCTGAGAGTCTTGAGAAGGTAGTAAAAAGCCAAATGAGGCTCTGTCTAATGTGCTGGCTTCATCTAATGTGTTTTCTTTGTATGGCTGTAAAAAGCGTTTAAATTGCACAGTTAAATCCCGTGGACTTCACGTCACAGTAATCTTTTTACACAACCTTTACAGCCAGGAAAACATTATTAGAAAATGAGATTAATTATTTTTACCAAAGCTTTATAGAGATATGTTTTATCTATACTGTGAATTTTGTTTTAAATGACACCTGCACTACATGCATCTTAAGATGGGTAATTCAGCCAAATGGAAACTGGCATTTCTCATTGAGGGAGAGGGCATTCATACTAACTGCTTTGGTGTTGAATACAAGCCTTTGTCTTAGAAGAAAATATCACTCATATGCTGTGTATACCTGCTAGGAGTTTGGTGTCATATCAACTTAAGAACTAATAGATAACAGCTTTGGTTTTACTCGCTTTGGAAAAACAGAAGCAATCTAAATGTGCACAAGTAACAGCCAATCTCACCTTTAAGGGAAAGCTGTTTCATTTTCTTTTTTAAAAAATGTCTTCATGTCCAGTGTGTCTAGAATCAATCATTTTTCACCGTAGATTTTTTTTTATGAAGCCTTTTATCATGGATTCTGAATGGAACCGTGTTTGGCCCTCGTACTATAAAATATAATGAATTTGTTTTCTGTTGAACATAATAAAACATTTTACTTGGAACACAAACCTCGCTGGTGTAGAAATTCAGTTCATAGGCCAAACACATTTGAGATGTTGGTTTCAGTATAGCTGTGTTGAGGCATTATTAGGAATGACAGGATCTGTCTATTTTTGTTCTCTTGGTTTCTAATTTTTCCATTCTTAAATTCAGCTCTCCACATTTTGCAGAAATTTGGGATTATTTTTTTTTAATCCTCATGAAAATTCTTATTTATTATTAGCTTAATAATAATAACAACATCCACAATAATAACAACAACAACAACCATAACAACAACAACAATTTCATTATTTATATCTTGTGCATCTGGCTGGGTTTCCCCAGCCACTCTGGGCGGCTTACAGCATATATAAAAACACAGTAAAACAACATATTAGTGTGAATTTCTCCTAATAAACACTTTCAAACTACAGTTTTGACTAATACACACATTTCTGCAAGCAATTTCTCCCAATACAATGCATTTTTGCATGTTATTTTCACTAATATATTTGTTTTTATGCACACATTCCCAGTATATTTGCATCTTTGTAAACATTGTTTGGCTGACAAAGTTCAATCAATCAGTCAAATTATATATATAAGTGCAATTTCAGAGGATAGTTGTTTCAATTATCATATTTCAGAAAGTGTGAAATTGATCAATTCATCTTTAAATGCATACTCCATCTCCCCCCTTCCTCAGGTATTATGTCTGAGTCATAAATATTAGTGGGAGCATGGGGCATAGGGCCATATGTACCAGTTCTGTCCCCATTGCCCGCATAAGCACTCTTTCTACCCTCTCAGCTCCCAACCTTTCTGGCTAGAGTAGAAACATCTGAAGATGAATATTTACCTGCTTTCACTTCAGTGCATATATAACCCCTGCATGATTGGAAACACTGTGTCTGATCACACTGAGGTTTCCATGAGCATTCAGGTGAGCATGAGTAGAAGTCCTCTTCAGATGTTCCTTTTTCAACTTGGGGAAACAGAGAGGGCACAATATGTGTGGCCTGATGTCACTTACCTGTGCTTGTATTTTCTGCACAAGCTTTATGCCTGAACTGGGCTTATGGTTTTCTGTGATGTGTTGTGTGTGTGTGTGTGTGTGTAATTGATTCTTAAGAGTGGTAGAGTTGCCTAATGCAATAAGAATGGATTGATCTCCTTAGTATTGAAAGCTAATTCAGTCTTGGGGCCCATAATTCTTTCAAGGCAAACAGGTTAGACAAGGTACTGAAAAAACATTGCTTTATGGTCAAGATTTCAATTATGTATGCTTGTTCAGGAACTATTTCAATCTGTTATTGATTTAGAACCCTTTTGCTGAAAATGAGGAAGCCCAGCAAAGGTCAGTGAGAATTCTGGGAATTAACACGTGGGACCTTGCTTTGGAATTAACCAATTTTGACTGGAGTCTCTTCAACTTGGTTCATGAGGTAAGGTGCAATGGATGGAAATGCTTGCTGTAATCAGTGCTCAGTTCTCCAGTTTGGGCTGTTTTCAACCAAATGTTTGCTCATGTAATGCCTTCTTCTGGTCATCTCATAGTATGCAACTTTCTGTGACCAATACAAGGGCAGGATACAAATGGGTTAAACTTTGAACCAAAATTCATGTGCATAAGTAAAATGCAAAGTGTCTCTCATTGCTTAATGGAGCTAATTTTTACTGCCACCCAAATTAATTTTAAAAATCTAAATTACTTGAGACTTTGAGGAACTAAAAAGAACAGAGTTCATCAGGCTGTCATTAGTTCTCAGATTGAAACCTATAGCAGCAATTAGTGGATGCCAAGTTGGAAACAAACCGTCCTTGCATTTTTCATAACTATGTCCAGGAGGATAATTGCTGAAAATCTCACAAGATTACTTGAAATTCTGGACTCTTTCTGAACTGCTTGAGGTTCGTTCATAAATTATTAAAAGGAGTTGTCTGGCCAAGTATCAACAGTTACACTTTTCAGAATGGTTAAATTCTCATTTGCATTTTTTAAAAGCCTAATTACTCTTTTAACTGTCTTCCAGCAAGAGCTGATATACTTCACCTTCAGCAGAAAGGGCAATGGGGAAAACACTGTGAATCTTAGTCTTCTGCTTCAAAGATGCAATGAAGTTCAACTCTGGGTTGCTACAGAAATACTCCTTTGCAACCAGCTCTGTAAGCGTGTACAGCTAGTGAAAAAGTTCATTAAAATTGCTTCTCAGTAAGTTTCAACCAATGTCAATGTTGAATTCACATTCGGTCTTTTAAAACTGTACTTAAGGATAATGAAATGATAGAAAGGTGTGTTGCTGTGCCATGAATTTGACTAGTACTTTGTGATGTGCGTATAAAATGCTACATGAGACAAGGACAGACTATTTTGTCTTAAACACACACACACAAACACACACACACAAATTTAATAATGTGAGCTTTTCACAGCCAAGACGCAGCTGGGACAGCAATAGTATAGATTGTTCAGACTATAGTGGAAGATCAAAAAAAAGAACTGGCGGGTATTAGAAGTCACCCCAGAACTGGCCCTACTGAACACCTTCCAATAATAATGCCCACTTACATTATAAAGAGCTCATAACCCACCTACTCCCAGCAGCCAGAAGCATCATAACCAGACACTGGAGAGAACTGTTAGGTGTAAACATGGATCAATAGTATCAAATTGTATGGGAAACGGCCTTACTAGAAAAGCTAACTAAAAAACTGAAACTGACATGGGGACAAATGGAGGAAGACACTTGTATGGTTCCCCTTCATCACAAACATAGCCCAACAAGACAACAACAAGAATCCGCTGACAGCATATGAATCAATACAGCTAACATGATCCAAAAGTCCACTCCCTCACAGTCACACACACATAAACAAATATCACTATAGCCAACCAACCAACCTTCAACCTCTCTCACCACCAAGGAAAGATAACAAGTGAATAGAAAGAGAACCTACACAAGTGACTCTGACACAAAACCCCGCACATACACTAAGTAGAAGAATAGAAGCATTCCCACCCCACCCCCGCCCACCCTCCACCCCTCTTTACTTCCCAGCCTTATACTGCATGCAACACTAATGTCTCACAACAAATGAAACTGATCTGTAGAAAAAGCAATGCATATATTTTTGTAAACTAAGAAATCTTTAATAAAAATGATTATATATTTTTAAAAGATTCAGCGCACACCTATATATAGATCACAGATAGACCATAGAACTTAGTGTGTGTGTGTACACAGAGATAGAGTTCTGTGTGTAGAACCTCTTTCTTGTTTTACTCTTCATATCTTCTGTGTTCAGCATGCGGGTTGTAGTCTTAAACAACATTAAACTATGAATCGGTAAAATGCTCTCTTTTTTGCATTCCCTGTTGTTGCTGACAGGGAACTCTTCATGATCCACTTCAATTAGGTACTCAAAAGTTACCAAATGTTTTGTCATCTGGACTAAAACAGGGATATGTTGTCTATGTATTACCTCATTTGCTCAGCAATTCTAGTATCAATCAACTTAGTACACTGGCATTCAGTTAAAATACATTTTTAAAACTGTTCCTTCAGATTAGTTAAAGTATACTGTGCATTTATACCCCACCTTGGAAACTTATTGAAGAGCATGACATAAAACCCTAAAATACATGAAATACATGGAATAGGAATTCCCATCTGTGTAGCTTAGTGTGAAAAATACAACTATTTTATTAACTTGCAGATAAGCAAGTAAAAAAGTATTTCTAGATAATCCATTTATAATGCAGTATACTCTGCAAATGTCACTCATTAAATGCATGACATCCATCCATTTTTGCAGCAGTGTTTCTTGAGTTGCATTTTCCAAGCATGTAAATTGCAATTTTGTGTTGCTGAGAAAGTGAAATTCTCCCACCAGACAGCACTACCATTGTTAATGCAATTGCTATGTGGAACATAGTTACATAGACAAGCAGGAAGCACCTGTTTGATAATCCAAATGTGACCCCAAAGGTAGCTAATAACTGATCAGGGGAATATATAGGTTGCACATTAATTAAATTTGTGTCAATAAACAACAAAATAAACTGGAGGTTGCAAAAGAAAAAGAAAAATGATTCAGGATTGTAGGCATATGTGTAAACAACATTGGGAGAGATTTAATTTAGATAAGCTCAGAGCTGTGCTACTAAGCAATACTAATTCCAGGATAAAGAAACAGAAACATGATTGCTTGTTAATGATTGGTAGATTTGAGAAGACATTTGAATCTTAATAATAGAAAAATGAAACATTTGGAAGAAGTATGCCACAGTTTCTAATAAATATAGTGAAACTTCTGTGCTTATTGCTGCACTTGGACTATCATATCTCTGTATTATAATCCAAGATGTGAATGAATTTCAGAGGTGGATATAGGGGAGCACAGCCAGTTTGATTGCACAGGGCAGTGAACCTCAGGGACAGTGCAACTATTATTAAGAATGGAGTACAAGAAGCAGCCGCTTGGCTCTTCCTTGGCACAAGTGAAATGTGCAAATTCACATGAATGCACAGCCACAAATCTCAGGCTACAATCGTAAAAATGGGGTCAGGTCCATTGAGCAAGTGGGACTTGCATAGGATTGTTCTATTAGTCTTAAATCCTTAGTTGTTTTTAAAGTCAAATGTCACATACTAAGGGGACTGTCAATAGGGCTAAAAAATAAGAAGATTGCCTGCATTGTCCCTTTAAGTAAAACAAAAATGGCGTCAGGGCAGCCACAGATCTGGGAAACAGACTGCATATAGGTACAAGAACTCTGGAAGCACCTTTGAAGGGGCTAGTGGTTACATTAAAATTGAGGAACAGGGAAAAACAGTGATTTGGGGGGCATCTTATTGGGCCTGCACCTAATTGGGTCACTTACAGAACTTAGTGTTAATATACTTGGAACAGTTAATCTACCATGCCTCTCCATGCTAGTAGTATTAAGACTTTGAATATATAGAAAGTTACACCATGTGCTTGTTTTTTGTATTTTTTTATTTTCATAGCTGCAAAGCCCAAAGAAATCTGAATTCATTCTTTGCCATTGTTATGGGTCTCAACACTGCATCCGTCAGTCGGCTTTCTCAGACCTGGGAGGTAATACAAGTATTTTGTTTTTTAAATTCATTAAAATTCTTGTTTTAGCTTGCAGCCCACAGGCCAACCTTGGCACACCTAGGAGGCCAATTTGGTTCATGAGGTCATTTCCCCCAAATCACACCCACCCACTCTCCAGCTGACATCACTTGTGACATCAGCTGATGAGCAGGAGGACAGGGTTTAATCATGCAGTGATTGTGTGCCCTGTTCCCAGCAGGGAACAAGATTCTGTAGTCAAGGAAGCAAGATTTAATTTCTGCTCATTAGCAGATGAGTGGGGATTAAAGCACTAAAGATGTTGACTTAGCAAAATACTGGGGGGGGGGGGATAGATATATGGATGCCCCATGTGGGGTAATTGATAAAAGAATTGGCTGGATCCCCAGGTCTAAAGTATGGAGCTAAACACACTTTCCATCACGAGAGAGCCCCCAGCAGAGAATTGAAAAACACAAAATGATGCAGCACAGTTAAGCGTGGGAATAATAGTCTGATAGACCTTTAAAATAACCTGTTCTAGCCACTTATAGCACTTTCCCCCCCTCTCACAATAAACAGACCACACAGTTAGTAAGTTTAAATACTTTACTTACAAATGCCAAAGGTTGGATTCATATGTTGTCTCATGCAGAACACAGGTAGAAATACTGGGTTTACAAAATACAGAAATAGCTCTAAGTATGCGGTCTAAGCATGTAGCGAGCAAACTCAGGCTTGTCCTATCTTGGCGAGTTCACATGAGGAAAGAAAATGAACAAAGGAGAAAACTTAACTTCCTTTCAGGTGAGGGCTGTGACCTAGCTGATTCTAGGAATACATTTCTGTGGTCTTAACCCCTTCGTGCCTTAACTATGCCTAAGCTTGCTAGTTATGTTTGATGGCAATTTCCCACAAAGACCAGAGTTGTTTGAAGGCTTAAGAGGGTATGGTAGAACCCTTCTAAGCGGCTTTGCCCTCCCTTGGAGAGCTGTCTCTAATCCTCAAAGGGATTGTAACAGATTCTTCTGTCACATGCTCCTGGGTTGTTGTGAAGTAGGAGAAGCTGCAACGGAGTCATTCCCTGAGTTTGAGGGTGATGGAAGAACCATCAGGTCAGCATGGTGCGCAATCAGGTACTGAGGGCCCACTTCCAAGTGGTTCCTTTAAAATAGAGTGGTACCCCGCAAGACGAACGCCTCGTAAGACGGAAAACCCGCTAGACGAAAGGGTTTTCCGTTTTGGAGGCGCTTCGCAAAACGAATTTCCCGATGGGCTTGCTTCGCAAGACGAAAGCCCATAGGGAAATCTCCGGGACAGCGGGGAAGCGCAGCGCGTCTTGCCCACTGTCCTCGGACCTCCTCCCGCCGCCAGGCTTCGGAAGGCTGCTCCGAAGCCTGGCGGGGGGCGGAGAGGTTTTTTAAAAACCCCGGGACAGCGGAGGACTTCTCCGCTGTCCGGGGCGATTTTAAAATGCTGGCGGGCTGCAGCGCTGCCGCCCAGCAGCATTTAAAAAAAACCGGGACAGCGGGGGACTTCTCCTTTGTCCCGAGGTTTTTTAAAATGCTGGCGGGCGGCAGTGAAGGATTCGCTGCCGCCCGCCAGCATTTTAAAATCGCCCCGGACAGCGGAGAAGTCCCCCGCTGTCCCGAGGTTTTTTAAAATGCTGGCGTCTTCCCCTTTCTCCCCGGACCTCTTTTGAAGCAAGGGGCGGCAACGGGGAGAAGCGATCTTCTCCCCTCCGCCCCTTGCTTCAAAAGAGGGGACAGAGGGGAAGGCGCGCCTTCCCCTCTGTCCCCGGAGATTGTGGGGCAGGCAACGGGGAGAAGCAATCTTCTCCCCGCTGCCCTTGCTTCAAAAGAGGGGACAGAGGGGAAGGCGCGCGCCTTCCCCTCTCTGCCCGGACCCCTTTTGAACCAAGGGTGGCAACGGGGAGAAGCGATCTTCTCCCCTCCGCCCCTTGCTTCAAAAGAGGGGACAGAGGGGAAGGCGCGCGCCTTCCCCTCTCTCCCCGGACCCCTTTGAAGCAAGGGGCGGCAACGGGGAGAAGCGATCTTCTCCCCTCCGCCCCTTGCTTTAAAGAGGGGACAGAGGGGAAGGCGCGCGCCTTCCCCTCTGTCCCTGGAGATTGTGGGGCAGGCAACGGGGAGAAGCAATCATCTCCCCGCTGCCCCTTGCTTTAAAACAGGTCCGGGACAGAGGGGAAGGCGCGCGGCGCTTCCCCACTGTCCCCGACGGTCTCCTTAGGAACGCATTGATTGATTTCAATGCATTCCTATGGGAAAACCGTGCTTCGCAAGACGAAAAAACTCGCAAGAAGAAAAAACTTGCGGAACGAATTAATTTCATCTTGCGAGGCACCACTGTATTGGGATGACATTGGGAGATAGATGCAGAGGACACAATTCTTCCCTATTTAAAATAATAAAATCAGAAAAACTAGCTTTCCCCCTGAAACGTAGCTATCCCCACTGCTCCAAGGAGATTTTAGTATCAGTTCAGGCTAGCACTAATATACTGTTGATACGTTTTACCTTTTTAAATGAAATAATCAGAGAGGCCTTAAGACAAATGAGGCAGACAGAGATGTTAGTGAATAAAATGAACACAGATTTTAGGAAGCAATTATAAAAGAATTATGAGAGGGGCAGTCTCAAAATGCAAAAGGATTTGCATCACTCTTAAACATTATTCATGATGAGCAACTTGATTTTTTATGAGTTTTTTTATTATGGCTAGTCACTGAAAGAAATATTAAATACTTTTCAGCATACTTGATTCACCCCCCATCGAATCCCATTTCCTTTGATATTTTTTTGTGTATTGCAGAGAATCCCTGGAAAGTTTAAGAAGCTGTTTGCTGAACTTGAAAGTTTGACAGTAAGTATACTTTCTACAGAAAAGACTTTGATTTCTCCAGCTGTTCTCTTCCAGAGCTTAATGCAGTGATTAGGAACCTGTGGCCCTCCAGATATTGTTGGACTCCAGTTCCCATCAGCGACAGCTGGGATGCCCAATGGTCAGAGATAATAGGTGTGGCATTTCAATTAGATCTAGAGTTTCATCAGCCCTTGGTTGATGTAAACTTCATCATCTAAAGCTGGGATCCTTAGCTTTTTAGCTTACTACAGACATATGTAGCTCCAAACTCTCTATTAGCCCCTAGAGTGAATGACCTCTTATTTCACTCAGTCAGTCCTCTTTCTTTGAGAAACATTTATCTGCCTCATTTTCCAAGGAAACCTTTTATATTTAAAGCATATTGAGCTTGTGGGTGTGTAACAGATTACAAATTGCCATCCTTTAGAAAGGGTATTGATTTTCTTCTTTCCTTTCATCGCAATCAAATTGTTTCGGTAGGACCCTTCCTTGAATCACAAAGCCTACAGAGATGCATTCAAGAAAATGAAGTCACCGAAAATCCCCTTCATGCCTTTGCTCCTTAAAGGTAATACAGTTTGTCCACATTAAACATCTTCCTAACATTATGTATGAGTACCAAATGGGTGAGATAAAATTTTAAGCGTATCGCTGCTGTTCTGTGCAGTTTACCAGCGAGTGCAAGGGTAACTGAATGCAGTGCAGCTGTGCATATTGATAATAGATATATGTTGCACATTATGGACGGAGAAACCAAGGATCAAGAAGAGAGATTATGTGCTGACAAGAGTGGCAGCAGAGAGGGTGAATAATGGAACTGTAAGATAAGATGAGACCTAAGATAGCGTCTAGAAACCCTTTTGTTTTTCAGCTGAGAATTCAAAAGTTAGCTTAATAAAAAGCCGTTCTTTTCCTGTTTCTGTCGTCCAATAAGTGAGATGTCCTGATTAAGGAGAGCGCATGTTCAAAAGTAAAATTCCACCCTACTGTAGGCTGGCCATCTTTAATTCTGATAGGTCCCTGCTCCCCCCTTTTTCTGATGACCCTGAGATTTTGCTGTGGCTTTTTTCATGACCGCTGATCTTCTGTTGCACCTTTTGCTGCCTTCAGCCTTGGATGGTGGAGGCTACAATTAGGAGGGCCCATAGCTCAGCTGTACAGAATATGCTTTGCATTCATCCTCAATCTTCATTTAAAAAATAAAAGAGATATTGGAGCCCCACTGCTGGTCAAAAGCGAGCGTACAGATTTAAATGAACCAATGATCTAATTCAGTGTAAGGCAGCTCCGTTTTAAGGCATAACCGCAGCTCAGTAACAGCATGCTTTGGATGCAGAAGCTGCAGGCTTCCATACCTGGTAGGTCTGGGACAGGCTGCTTGAGAGCTACTTGTCCGTGTTGCAGACAGTACCAGGCAAGATGGACCTATGGACTGCCTCTTCATAAAGCAGCTTGCTCAGTTCCTGCCGCCTCAGGCCTTAACTAGCAATGCTAAGCCAAAATTCTCAGCAGCATGTCTTGCTCTGTTTTGTGCCTGTGATCTTGTAGTCCCTACAGGCTATGTATAATGGATATAGGTCACACTTGGGTGCATCTTTTAACGGAACACATTGCAGTGCCTGCAATTCTGCTGAGCACTCGGCTTCTTCCAATAGCTCTATCCTACGATTTATAATCGGCCTTTGTTTCTATCTTCTCTAACCACCCCGCCCCTCTTTTCTGGAAAGCTATTTGTAGAGACTCCTTTGAGTCACCACGAACGGCCTCGGCTGCCTTTTTCCCTTTTCTGTAGGCAAAGGGATTAAAGCCCTTTGGCATATCTTCATATAAAGAAACATCTCCTTAGCACAATGGGATTCATTGTTTGAGAGTGTTAACATATTGCAACAAAGTCTTTAGTTATAAAGTCATCTTTGAAGAGGCTGTGTTTTAGGGCACAATCTTTAAAGAAGAAAAAAGTCTAAAGGTCAGGGTCAAGGTCAGCACAGCCACCTACAATGTTGTGTGGCTTAAATGTGGTTTGTGAGCCATGCCCAGTTACAGTTGTTTTAGGGTATCTATAAATTTTACCTCTTTGCCATGACTGGAATGTGCACATACCTGGTATATCTGAGGATGACGACAACATTTCCTCCTTTGGATGCCTCATCTTTTTTCATTCTCCTTGGGCACTGTGTGTGTGTGTGTGTGTGTTTCTTTCTGTCTGTGTCTGTGTTGGTATATGCCCAGTACTAAATTATTCTTGGAGCCTGGTATCACCACCCATAGCACTCCTGTGGAGAAGTCTGTCCCTCTTGGCATTTCTAAGTTGTTGGATTCCGTGTCCTCTTTGACGTACCTCCATGATGCTCCTCCCTATTATTCCTGTAGAGTTTGTATCCAAAAATAACCATGTCCCACTGCTTTTCTCCATCCCACCAGGTTTCCATTTTGTAAGCTGTTTCTATGCTCTATTTTAGACCAGTCCCCTCAACTTGCCCATCTTCACTTGGAGGCTTCTAGCATTAGCGCAGGAATGCATTTATCGTCTTGTCTGTCTCTGCAGATGTCTTTGGGGCATATGTTTCATCACCAGAGTGCTTTGGCTTCTTTCAATGTACTTCCAATGCCTACTTCTCTGGACAGTTTTTGAATATTTTCATCCTCACTTCTGGAGGATGGTTTGTCCCAAACTGGATGCTTCTCATCTCCTATCGGCTTTTCCGCAGCAGTCATTTTAAAAGCAGCTGTGCCTTTTTTCTTTTTTATATCAAGTACTTTCCCCCTCCCCAGCAGCCTTGAATGGGCCCTCCAAGGAGAAGTGTGGGAGGGAATTAACACCTTTTAAGTAGGAGTAAGTAAAGCAGGTGTCGGAAAGGAAATTTGAAATAACCCCTTTCTTAAATAGGTAAAAAGTACCTCAACAACAATACCCCTTTTTAAGTAATTGAATTTCTACAGCAAACTCTGTTGTTTCACAGACAGTGCTTTTGAAAATCTCGCTGATTTTTCAAATATTTAATAAAACACTGTTTTGCTCTTTACAATACAGCTCAGATGCAATTTTCTGCTCCACTGAATTTATCCAGGCTCATAGTTGTTGGCAGCAAAGCAAATTTCTATCCTTTTTTTTTTCATTCTTTCTCCTCCCTCCCTGTTCCTCATAAGGCTTTTACTTCAGTCTTTAAAGTTTTTTTAATAAAAAAAAAGCACACTTCAGGCTTTTCAGCGGAATGCCTTCTTTATTAGCATTGACAGTAACAATTTCACCTTCTCCATTTTGCCTTAGTGACAGGGCAGGCAAGGCATTGCAGCGGGGAGTGTAGAATACGCAATGTTGGCACCTGAGTCTAGGAGGTGAGGTTGACAGAAAGCACAGCAGTGTGGAAAGAGTGGAAAAGTGAGCATCAACCAAGGCATCCTGTTTCAAAGGGACCAGTTCTGAAAAGTTTAAGAAAGCAAAGGAACGCATTAGTGGTCTTGGTATTTTCAGCGTTGCAGCCCTTTGTTTATGCTAACGTCTGAAGAAAAATCCAATAGGAAGTAGGTAGCCGATTGATGCTGTTTATATTGTACTGCTAAATTTGTATATGTGGGTGTGTTCCTTACCAAAAAAAAGAGAAAGGGACCACCCTTCTCTATAAACAGGTATGCCCGTTTGTTCACTCCGACCCTTAACCAGAAGAAGAGAGCCAGTGTGGTGTGGTGTGAAGAGCAGTGGACTCATAATCTGGTGAACCGGGTTCGCTTCCCCGCTCCTCCACATGCAGCTGCTGGGTGACCTTGGGCTAGTCACACTTCTCTGAAGTCTCTCAGCCTCACTCACAGAGTGTTTGTTGTGGGGGAGGAAGAGAAAGGAGATTGTAAGCCGCTTTGAGACTCCTTAAGGGGAGGGAAAGGCAGGATATCAAGTTCAAACTCCTCCTCTTCTTCTTCTTCTTCTTCTTCTGCTGCTGCTGCTGCTGCTGCTGCTGCCATGTACAGATGTGCTCTTTAGGGTGCTAGGTGGCTTCTTTCAGGATAGTCAGCTTTTGCCCAGCCTCAAGCTACTGATCTTAAAAGTTGGACAAATTTCCTGTTTGTTTTAAAGCAGTGGTTCCCAAACTTTTTTTTTGGCCATGCCCCACCTACGCATCTCTACAATCCTGATCCCCCCCCCGCCCGGTGACATATAATTCTTAATATTCAAAAAGTGAATGCCTATTCACATGGAGGAAGCCTGAAAGACCATTAACTTGGTCTAACACATTCTCGAATTGCCCCCTTTAAAAATCAAATCGTCCCCTGTGGGGTGTGTGCCCCACGTTGGGAACCATGGTTTTAAAGTAAGGGAGATGTGTGCTTCAGCTGTGGAGAGGGGGGAAGAACACATATTTTAAAGACTTGGAAGGACTGAAAAAGTCGAAATTCACAAATTCTGGTTTCCTAGATGAATTCTTCAGCAAATAATGCAATAATGTACAGAGGGTTGTAGAGTTGGAACGGACCCCAAGAGTCATCTAGTCCAACTCCCTACAGTGCAGGAATCCCAGCAAAAGAATCCCTGACGAATGGCCATCCAGCCTTTGTTTAAAAACATACAATGAAGCAGAGTCTACCACCTTCTGAGGTGGTCCATGCCACTGTCAAATCGCTCTTATAGTAAGAAAGTTCTTCCTAATGGTCAGTCAGAATCTGACAGAAAAGTACCTAATGTGCATGATTTCATCAAGAAATTGACAATACATGAACTTCTGCTTTTCCAATACTGTTTCCCCCCCCCCCCCAGTTCTTTAAAATTTGAGGCTTTCCCCTTACTCAGAGTTTTTCACTGAACAGTTCAGAGAAAATCTAAGAAGAATGGAACACTGTGTTACATTACTGTCACCATTTCATGCCATGTAGCGTAAAAATGGGGGATATTTATTTATTATATTTATTAAATTTCTATACCACCCTTCAACCAAGAATCACAGTGCAGTTTACAAATTTTGATGTTTGTCTTGTTTTTTTTAGATGTAACATTTATACATGAAGGGAATAAAACTTTTCTGGATAACCTTGTTAACTTTGAAAAGCTGGTAGGTAACATTTTCTGTTTTTAAGTCCAATATTGTGGCAGGACGGAAGGCTTGCTACATTGTCACTTATCCACCTTCCATTTTTGTTTTGTTTTGTTAATTCTAGTTTTTCTGAATAGTGTTTCTTTAGAAGCAGGGATACTGTTTATTCCTCATTTGATTCTGCTTTCCATTGAGAGTTTCTACAATAACAGTAGGATAATGAGCTTTTAACCAAAGGTTCAGCTAGATGCTATTTTATTATATTTTCAAAGATTGGACACAAGATTAGTCCAATAAAAAAATGAATCTGCATAAGAAAAAATCATAATATAAATTCCAGTTTGTTGTTTTCACTAGTGTCAGGTGATAATATTTCTTGCAGACTTTGGGTTGCCTGTCTACAAGCGGAACTGCATATTGTGTTGTGATATTTTGGGCAGGCGTATTTTTAATTTATTACATTTATATTGCAATTTTTGTCTGCCAATGAGCTTATAAAATAGTATCTGCATTTAATTAAGTACTTTCTTGCCCAAATACATTTATCTCTGACTACAACTTTATTGATCTCTCTTTGAAATGTGTCACATTAGCACGAAAAGTAAAATAACCCTTGATGCACACATTATTGTGACTTTACCCCCAGCATTTAGGTCTTCAACATACTTTGCAAATTTTATTGCTGCTGCTATCTTAAGAGGCAAATCTGCTGCAGGGCGGTAGGGTGTCACAGATAAGAAGGTGGCAAGCCAACAGTTCTGTCATTAAGCAAAGGTTGTCTTAACGTTCTTTGCAAGAGGGGGAAGCAAGATGGCTGGTGTGGGGAGCACAGCCTGCAAGAAAGCATGCTCCCAGGCGTGCCGTATGGCTAGAAAACAGGATTAGTTATTGAGAGCAGGGCACAACAATGGAGAAATCAAGTGAAAGACACATTCTTTCATCCTGCTCCCAGAGTAAAGGGACCCATGACCGTTAGGTCCAGTTGCAGACAACTCTGGGGCTGCGGCGCTCATCTCGCTTTACTGACCGAGGGAGCCGACGTATAGCTTCCAGGTCATGCTGCCAGCATGACTAAGCCACTTCTGGCAAACCAGAGCAGTGCACGGAAATGCCGTGTACCTTCCCTTCTGGAGCGGTACCTATTTATCTACTTGCACTTCTTGGGGTGCTTTCGAACTGCTAGGTTGGCAGGAGCAGGGACCGAGCAACGGGTGCTCACCCTGTTGCGGGGATTCAAACCACCAACCTTCTGATCAGCAAGCCAAAGAGGCTCAGTGGTTTAGACCACAGCGCCACCCACCTCCTGCTCCCAGAGTATAAAGGGACAAAAACTGAAGACTCGTAGCTGCTTCGAAGTTTATATTAATACTGCCACAAATGGCATGTTTTTGCACCAGGCAGAAAACTAGGAAGAGCTGCTCTCTTGAATCTCAGGGAGGAGCCTCATTATGAGTTCTTGGTGGCTTGTCTTGCAAACAGGGCAACTTCAGAGCCACATTATCAGAAATATGATTTGCACATTGGTAATCTGGCATTTCAACAGAGCTATTCCATTCAACAGCATTTTTATAACTCACAACTGTGGCATGATCTATATTATGCCAAACAAAACAGGGGCTAATTTTTTAGTAGGCAATCAGTTTTTCTTCTTTGGAAGTTAGGCAGTTTATGCTTTTATATATATATATATATATATAATATCACTAGTGAGAGCTAATTTCAGACAGGTTGCTTCAAGTTTAGCTACTAAGAATTGTTTGGGTCTGGTTGAATGTCTCCTCTGCTTATATTGCAATTGTGATCAAATAATAATTGCAGGAAAACGTTACTGACCAAGCCCTCAGCTGGAGCAAATCAATGTAGCTTCATGAATCTATGCCAGTTCAAATCAACCCAAGATCCAATCATACATGTGCAATGAAATTGGAAAGGTTTTCCTCTCTCTAATCGGTGCAGCCATCTGTGACCTATATTGCCTAAGAAAAGAACAGCATAGGAATGAACTCTTTTTAAATAACTATTCATACTCAACTATTGCAATTCCAGAGGCATACTGGGTAGAATGTTTTCTCTGAAGTTAAGAATTCTCTTCCTTCTTATGTCATGCCATCTAATCCCCATTTAGATAGAAGCTTCATTCATTTGAATGTCATTTCACTAATGGAAAAAATGTGGGGCCTGCCTGGATTGCTAGTCATTTTTGTAAACAATGCTGATGTTAACACACACATACTGAATTCTTATACCACAGATACATGCAGAATTCAGATAATTTCCCACTGCTCCTGTAACGTATCAAAGCAGCCCTGAATCAATGCTTGAAGTTATCCATGATAGCTTTCTCTTAGAAGATCTTACATTTTCACATCCCCCCCAAAAAAATCTGGAAATGGGAAGAGAATATGGCTTGCCTCCCATGCTAAAGGAAAGGTTATGCCTGCTCTTCTTGTACAACTACCAGACTAGCTTTTTTTTTTGTAAAAAAATATACATTCTATTGGATTAATATTCAGTGGTGCCTTTTGTATATTATCTTCACAGCACATGATTGCAGACACAGTCCGGTCTTTGAGACACTGCAGACACAACCAGTATGGTGAGTAAAGATTTCTCTCTTTAGCTAAGCTTTGAGCAAATATAAAAACCTTCCTCATAGCAGGTCTCTCTGACCAGCCCATATGACAGCAATAAACCATTTTTTGCCCAAAGCAACAGAGACTCATGATGGGCATCTTAAAGACTATTCACTGTAGCATAAGCTTGAGAAATACAACTGAACCAGTACATCTGGCATTTACATACACCATTGTTTATTGTTTGTTGACTGCTTAGAAATAATCCTATGAATGAACTAAAAGGATTTACTCTGAAAAGGGATCAACTTTCTTGTTTGATGCAATCTTTTTTTGTTCATATTTTCAATTTTGTTCATATTATTCATGATTGAGGCTATTTGTCTGAGATGATAGACCTTTTCTACACATACAGAGAATGTATGCATAGACAAGTTACTTGCTAGCTTAGAGGTCATCTGAGGAGAGGAGATATGCAGAGCTAATCGCCTTAGGCCCAGGTGAAATTAGAAGTCTTTGGAGAGTCACCATCCTCAGCCATATCTGTTTAATTGATTATCACAGTTAGTCTGGAAATAAACTTCTTTTTTATTTGAAATGTTGACGCCTGTAGTTAATTGCATTTTGGGCATGAGTTCAGGGGGAAGAAGCTGTAAAGTAACTGATCTCATTCATTCATTTTTTGTTTGTCTATCTAGGAAATGAAGTTCCCCAAAAAGAACATCAGGAGCTGAAGCCCTACGTCCATCACTTGCACATCATCGATAACCAGCAGATGTTGTTTGAGCTTTCTCATAGGATAGAGCCTCGCGTGTGAGTTCACGCAGATTCACATACCTGCAGCACTTTCAATTAAGTGAATGTTTATGCCAAGCATGTTGCTTCCCTTGGAGAGAGGTGAATACTGAGTTTTATCAGTAGCTGATGCCATAACAAGCACAGCCATCTCTTGCAAAGCAGAAAGAGGAGCTGTTCGCACCAGCCTTCCGGGATGAGAGAAATGCCATATCCATTCAACTACAGATGGGGAAAGAGAGAAACAACATTCTTCATATACAAAGACTTGACTTCTTAAAAAAACAAAAAACCTTGGTCCAGAGTAGCTTTCAATTCAGACTCTTATCAGTGTTAAATTGGGGGAAAAGAAAACATTGTGTCACTATGAAGAAACGTTTTAGCAGGCAGCACTATGTGAGAAAGGCACTCATAATTTTCCACACACGGATGCGCCTCACTAATCATCATAAGCTGCCAAAAGGATTGTTTGTTGCCAAAAAGAAAATAGATGAAAACAGAGAAAAAGAAGTACGTACTGAAGAAAAAGAAGTACGTAAACTTTCCTGGGATGTGTAGCAACCACTGCTGCATGAACATAAAGAATGACAACTTGTTAGAGCACAGCATACAGACTCATTCAAACAAATTGTAGAATTGGACAAGCAGGAGGTGATACTTCATTTTAGCAGCCTTCCCTTCTGAATGTGTTCCACAGCATAAAGCAAAAATTCACACTGTTAAACTGTTTGCAGCAACAAGTGCAGTGTTTCTACACGGGATTGAGTAGCAGAGTGCACAGTGCTTTCTTGAATGTTTCTCTCAGCTTTTTTTTTTTTAGTTAGAACTCCCTTTCCAATTAGTCTAATTTAGATACTCAAGCTCATGAGCCAACATGCTTATAGTTTATTACAAAAGGAATGCAGTATGCTTTACTCCTTGATATCTGTACCATAAGATTACTGCAGTTGCCTTTAGATGGGTGTAATGTGACTTCTAAGCAGTGGTTAAGTAAATAAGCAAGAATCTATGAGATTGCAACAACCAGCAGCTTCCAATAGGGGGAAAGACCTCAATTACTCTTAGGTTAAATGTCACAAAAGCAAAAACATCTGTAGCTCAATATTGGAGGGGTGTTCTGGAATGTTTGCCAAGGGCATTACTTACACTGCCAATGAAAACTTTTGCTAATTGAAGTAGCTCCTTTACCTACCCACTCAAGGAACTAGATTTCTGTAAGAGTCTTATGAGTCTCCAATAAAATTAGCATACAAAACTACCTGAGGGAAAGCTGGAAGAGCTACTAAGTGGCATGCCCATCAATCGTTATTATTAAGACTGAAAATGATAAATACTTTACAGCTACGTGAAACCTAACCTGCTGTGAGTGCGCACACTTCATTCTTTTTCACTTTGAAAGACCAAATAGACCTAAGGGCTTATCCACAATATTAGTTCAAACTTTCAAGCTGTGGGGCTTGAATCTGACAAGAGGCACCTTTTCATATTGTCTTGAGAGTAGTCAGTTTTGGTTCATGTGGGTGAGAATCTCCTTGAAAGTCAAGCGCTCTTTTTGGAATCACACTGTAGTGCAGCATAGCAGAGGATCAACTATGATGGGTCCTGTCCAACAACTTTTTTGACAATTCCATAGCCACACTTCTGGCAGAAGTATAGCTCTCTAGCGAGGGAAATGTGATACTCTCTGGTGCAAAACTGGTTTCTTGAAGATACCTGAATCTGATGATTGCAGATTTCTTGGGCTATATACTATCTGGAAACTTGTTTCAACTCCTTTCTCAAAAGCTTGTATCAAAGGGTCACAACCTTTAATGTCAAAACATGAGTCAAAGGTGAACAAAGAATGACAGTAAAGGGTTGCAAGGATTTGCCTAGTGAGTGTGATAAATACGATGCAAAACAATGCATTTCACTGTGAAAAATCTATTTATATGCATCTTTATACAATATACTATTTTATAGCGGAAATGGGAACATACTTCTTGTGATACTATGCCAGACAGGAGATACTGTGGGTAAAATCTAGTGTTCTTTGAAATGTGAGTCTACTAAAGCAAATGAATCCTCCTTTTTTATTACAGCTGCTAGGGTATAATCATTCAGGAACTTTTTTCTGCACAAGCTCCTCCCCAAGGGATTGTGTCCTATTGGAAGAGAAATAAAATCAGCTTTAAGTGGTAGGGTTTTTTCAGCAGGGTGGAGATTCTTTCCAATGCATTTTGGCCTCCCCAGTATGAAAATTGTGGAAATACTGTACAGTGTAATGTAAAGACAAGATGTTTCAGAATTGTAACTATATTATGAATATGCTATACATGTTCTCCTGTCAGCTGCTTTTTTTAACCCAGTAAAAGGGAAAAACTGGCTGCCCTTTGAGTAAATATTCAGTATGCATTTATGTAGGTGGTTGCACATGTTAGAAACAATCCAGATAACCTATTTAGGCATATGAATGGAGTTTTACATGAGGTTTTCCCTAAAGCAACTCAGCTGAAGAGGCAAGGATTTTTTAAAAAACCGAAAAGCAGCTTGTCTCTTAGGCAGTGGGATTTGCTATGACAAAGAAAAAAGAGAGCTGTTGGGCTGCATGCATTATTTCCAACCGCATACATGTAAGTAGCTTTATTTTAATTGCAGTTGTTGTAAATAACCCCTTTTATGCGTATGAGGCTAACTTGGGGGTGGGGAACTGTCGGGCCCAATTAGTCTTAGAAGTTATCAGTTCCTCATCTGTGGTGTTGAGCCACCAGACCTTCAGGTAGTAGATCTAAACATAATAAAATGAGGTTCTCATGCCCATGTTTGCCTAAAAACACTAATGCAGAGGGAACATTGTAAGAGAGAATCAGGACATGGTTGCAAAGTTCATAGGTTATCATATATCACCTTGTCGGAAAAGTTCCCAAAGGCAGGATATAAATTTATGAAATCAAAACAAACCCTTCCCACACCTGTTATTCTTGTCAGCAAAATGCCCCTGACATCCATATGTGGGTTTTGAGACTGTAAGAAGCTTGACTGTGTGAGTAAAAATGGACTGGGGGGTTATTTGATTGATACAAGACTAGTTAACATCACACCCCACTTACTAAATCTTCACTTGTTAATGCCACCTTGCCCACACATATACATTGACTAGCATGTGTTTGCTGGTATAATGTACAGATCCTACCACAGTTAATCCTTTTTTCTTTTCTTTTTTTGCAAGGCAATAATGTATTTTCAGCTCTGGCTTACTTGTTCAGTTGCTGATTTGAAAGTCACTTCCCAATTTCATGAGAGGACTTGTTTTGCTTATTCTTGAGTGTGGTACAATGCAAATATGTAATGATTTTTAAAAGATATTTAAATCTCTATAAGATATGGCAAAGCAGTGCTGTACTCCATAGGCAGTTTCCCTGTTGCCAGTTACTGAAGTAACGGATAACATCTTCAAGATATTCAGTGGCCAGGATTCAGGCAAAAGGACAAGCCAAAACTAAATTACGATTATTATCCCTTGTTTTCCAAAAATGAACCAGTGTTATGGACTTTGATTTGGCCTAGCATACATGAGAGATGGTTGATTGGCATATGTATAATATAAAGCCCATGAAAAAATAGGGGAATGGTATAGAACTCCCAACCTTCAGTATCAGTAGTATCAAACTTTCTTACGGTCACAAACCAGCATGAGATAAAACATAATGGATAAACTGAACACAGATGACTTAAAACAGATAAGGAATAAAAACTAGCAATTAAAAGTAGGTTATATCAAACATACTTAAAAAGGGACAAACAGTTAAAAGCAACTCTAAGGGAGGGAGTGTGAAGGAGCACAGGTCATGCATTTTGGGCCTAGTTTGTGGCGCAAACCATCCTTCGACAAATATCCATCATGGCAGCGAAGAATCTAGCTAGCAACTGAGTGTGTAGTTTTCATCCTGAAGAAGCAGGGAAGTATAAAGTTGTTCTGTGTGACCTGGGAATTTATGTATTACAGTGGTACCTCCGGTTAAGAACGTAATTCATTCTAGAGGTCCGTTCTTAACCTGAAACTGTTTTAATCTGAGGTACCACTTTAGCTAATGGGGCCTCCCGCTGCTGCCGCACGATTTCTGTTCTCATCCTGAGGTAAAATTCTTAACCCGAGGTACTACTTCCGGGTTAGCAGAGTCTGTAACCTGAAGCGTCTGTAACCCAAGGTACCACTGTATAGGCAAGATGAACCTAGCTCGTATATCTATATTGGCAGTGAAAAAAGACATGTTCTGTTTCTAGTTGCCCAGAGCCACATGGGCCTTTCCTTTCCTCATACGGTGTCTCCCTAAATCAGCCTTCCTGAATGGTTGAAGGAAGGACCTGGCAGCGGACCAGAGTGAAAGCCCTTCGCTGTTTGGGAATTTCAAGGTTGGTTATATATGAGGTGAAGTGTCTTCTGGTTTCACTGATTTAAAATTTCGGGGACTTAGCTAGATTCTGTCTACCAAGTATGCAGAAACGATTGCGCTTTTTCGAATACTTTTTTAGTAATGCTGACACGCACTGATACACTGTTACAAGGAAGACAGTTATTCTCAGTTGTTGTCTTACTGCTAAACAACCAAATGGTAGGGCTTCTTGAGAAGTGCACTCAGATTGCGTTCTGTTAAAATGTACAATTTTGTCTCCAGGGTTCAGCTCAGGAAAATCAGGTGTGTAAGTTTGCAGCACAGACAAGCTGTGGGCAGTGCTGATTGGTTAGTACCTGGGCCATCACAAACCTACCTCTCCCCCATCCCTGGAGCAGTTCTGCAACTTTTTTTTTTAAAAAAAGAAAAGATTGTTGCTTTAAAGAAAAAAAGGGGGGAAAGATGTCAGATGAACATAAATAAATGTACATATGGCACTTCAGAATAAAACATGGGCTGCCCTTCTGAAGCATGAGGGGAGAGTTAAGATTGATGATTGAACCAGCATTCAGGTAGGTAGTATGTACATCTTTCATTTACAAATGGGAAGGAAACTGAGAGAGCCCGCTGGGAGAAAAAACTGTTATTTCTGTACATACTCTAAATCTCACTGGCTTTAATAGAAAAATGTTAATATATGCTTTATTCTCCCATTAAAATCCAGGAACTCAAGAGTCTCTAGTCCTAGACACACTCACCTGGGAGAAAGTTTCATTGAACACAGTGTGACCTATTCTGGAATTAAACCTGCATAAATTGTGCTGTAAATTAGTCTGGCTCATTCCCCTCCGTTAATCTATATATACAGACCTCAGTAGTTGTAAGAGAGTCAGCAATTAAAACGGGGGTTAAGAATAAACAGTGTTCTGCAGCAGTACTTTGATGTACAGTCTCTTCATGAGTTTAATGTATTAGTTTCTAGTAAGCAAAGGGGAAAGCTGCAACAATTCAATGAAAAAAATGTGTTGTAAAAAAGCTACAGAGTGAGCTGTAAATATTAACCTTTTTAGCAGAGTTAAATTACTATTTATTTGCATAGCCTATTTATTGCATTCTTCTAAATACTGTTAGATACTGGGGCACTGTCAACAAATAGAGACTACTTGCATTGTCCATTCTACCATCTCTAGAGTGCCCTCGTGCTGTCAACTTGCATTAACAGTAATAGACTAGATTGCCCAAGCCAAGGTTATTTGCCTAACTTCTCAGGGACCACACCTTGTACTTATCCAACATTATTAGAACTGGTATGTATGAAATGCTCTGATTTACCAGGATCACGGTTGCCAATGTATTCCTTTACATATTTCATGCTTGTTGGCCTCTGTATATATCATTGTGTTGTGTATTTATGAGAGCTAAGAAGCAATTGCTAATAAGCAATAATTTATATGTCGAAATGGCCAAGCAATACGAAGGTAAAACCTGTAAAAGCAAATGTTAATGTTTAAACTTTTTTAATATTGCTTTTCAAAATATAAAACCATATTAATTAAATTGTCTGTGTGAGTCTATATTGACCTTTGTTTCTAAATCGCAGACTTCATGGGCTGCTGCTGTGGAACATGAGCATGAGAGTCCTGCTTTCAAATTTCAATATAGTCATTAACTCCCTGGGTGACCTTAGCCAGAACATCATTTCTCGGCTTTACACACACACACACACAGAGAGAGAGAGAGAGAGAGAGAAATATGGGGTTGATAATAGCCTAGCTGATGATTGCTGTAATGATTTCTGAGAGAATGTTGGGAGCAGTTATGGAAAGCAATGGGATGGTCACTGGTCCATAATATTATCCACCTGCAGCCTCATCAGCAATATATGCAGTCCATAAGTTAGGGCTATTTATATCCAGTCACAGCAGCGGCATAACCAGAACATACAGCATCTTAAGTTTAAACTGAAAGACAAAAATAATCTTCCAAAACCTGAACGGTTCTAATGTCAGGAGCAGCCAAGCTCAAACTGGGAAATGACTGTTCTATGCACAGCTATACCTTACTGTGAGCTGCTGGAAATAGGTTCAGTTATATAGAAAGAACAGTATTGTTCTCCCAAGCCTCATTATGCCCTTTCTGGATGTTCCTCATGATTTGGCCTAGTTATAAATGCTTCTGATGGTGCATTCTGACGGTGCAGATGAATTGTACCTCCAAGTTACCTGTCTTCCTCTATATTGTTGTCTAACTATGACAGAACGTAGTGATCTTTTGTGAGGATGAGTAGAAAGAAACTAGGGAAGGACCTATGGAAGGGATGGTGTGTTTGCAACTGGTTCTAGTGCTCCTGGAACAGTGGCGGACCTTGGCGTATCAAATTTCATTGGCACCCTGTGGATGCTAAAATCTGGCACCCCACCCCATCCACCTCTCATCTTCCATTGGATGTCACAGTTGGGGCTCCCCCTGAAGCTCTTCACCCCATGTGACCACACCGGTCACACTCCTCTAGATCCACCTTTGTCCTGAATCACCTTTTACTGTTCCGACCCCATTCTTAGTACATCTCTGAGGTTCTAGACACTTAGGTGAAGCATCACAAGGAGTCACTGCCCCCATATCTTGTTAAATGCCAACCCAATCTCTGAGCAGCAAGAGTCTCCAGAGGTACCTGCTTTCCCAGGGTTCAGTTTCAGTGGAAACTCTGGTATCTATTAGATAGATGGTTTTATTTCCACACATATAACCTGAGCATAGGATGGAGGGGTCACAGCATTAACACCCCCATGGATCTTGGCTTCGCCTTTAAATTTCCAGGGGACCTCCAATGTCCAGCACATAGCAACCTGTCTGTCTGCAGCTTCCAGCATTCCAGCTTTTTCCCCTTACACACACAACTCTAGCTATTGTTCTCCTTTGTACCAGCCAGGTGGGGGTGGGGAGAGGCCCACCCATTTGTTCTGTGGCCCAGAGCAACTTCTTTGGTTATGATAAATTGCGGCACTTAGCTAGTCAGCCAAAGCCATTACCTTAAAAAAAGAAGTGGCTTGGTATGCTTCCCCCTATTCCAACTGACAAATAGAGGTTGGGACGCGGGTGGCGCTGTGGGTAAAACCTCAGTGCCTAGGACTTGCTGATCGAAAGGTTGGCGGTTCGAATCCCTGTGGCGGGGTGAGCTCCCGTCGTTCGGTCCCAGCTCCTGCCCACCTAGCAGTTCGAAAGCACCCCTAAGTGCAAGTAGATAAATAGGGACCGCTGTATAGCGGGAAGGTAAACGGCGTTTCCGTGTGCGGCGCTGGTGCTGGCTCGCCAGTGCAGCTTCGTCACGCTGGCCACGTGACCCGGAAGTGTCTTCGGACAGCGCCGGCTCCCGGCCTCTTGAGCGAGATGAGTGCGCAACCCTAGAGTCGGTCACGACTAGCCCGTACGGGCAGGGGTACCTTTACCTTTACACAAATAGAGGAGGTCTAGGGTATTATCCAGACTGATGCCCCTCCCCCAACCTCATAACAGCATATACCAGGGAGTCTGTGTGAAATCATTGATCATATTCCTTCTGGAATGGGTACAGTTAAATCTTTAAATTTTAGTTTCTCATTTTTCTGGTCTTGAAGTTCAGTTCACCACATTTCTGCAGCAATTCTAAAAAAAATTGTCTGCATACTAGTGCATATTCTTCCTATTATACACATTTTTGTATGCAGTTTTACTGAATATGCATATATCTGCAAGCAACGTTCCCTAATGCATTCTTGTATGCTATTTTCACTAATAAATACTTTTTATTCAGATTTTTTTAATGTTTTGGGGAACCGCACCACAAAATTCAGGGAGGTGCATATTCTGACAGAGATGGGTTCATGTTGGTACTAGAGAAGGTCATGTTTGTGCAGGAGGGCCCATGCTTCCTCTCTAATATTACTCTGAAAAGTTCTGATATACACTGTCATGAACTGGCAGGACACCGAAGAAGGGGAAGGGGATCCCAGTGAGCAAAGTAACCACAACTGGTGCACACCAGGGCAAGCTGAAGATGGGGAAGGGGAGATTGGGGACTTAGGAAGTACTCAAGGGACATCAGAGAACATCAAAGGGGCAACTGCCAGCTCACTGGAGACAGGGGAAGTGGACACATCACAAGAACCAGAAGGGTCCTCGTCTCCATGAACAGTGAGAACAGTGGGAGATGTACTTTAAGATACTAAGGCAGTCAAAAGAACACAGCCAGCTTACTAGCTGCTCAGGTGAAGATCGTGGGACTTGTTAGTTGTGGGAGGAGTGTTGTGAACACTCAGCTTGATGAAGCTCAGGGCAGGTGAGGATCACATGCTTTGTTAAGATGAGAGACACAGCTGGAGCAAGCTCAGGTGCATCAAGTAAGATTGGGAGGAACAAAAGAGACGCAAGGCAGAGACTTTGTGCCTGCTCAACCTCCATCGTTGATGGGCTATGGCTTGGCTGTTTTGGAAATGCCACTGGACAATGCTTTCAGGGCTCACCCTCGGATTCCAACCCTGGGTCTTCTTCAGAGACGGTAACCTGGCCTTAGAGTTTCACTTTGAACCTTTCTCATTGCATTGGACCTGAAGCTGTATTTGATCATTGAACTTTTTGACCCTCTGCTGTTGCCCTTGGGATTGTGTGCACTTTCGGGTTTTACCTCAGAGTACACTGGGGTTCAGGGCTTACACATATACACATAGTACAATAAGTCTGCAAGTTATGCACATCTAACTTGTGCGTATACAGCTTTACACACATGGCAAAAATACAAATAAAAGCAGGTGGGGAGGGGGTGGGATGAGGGGGGGGAATGATTTTGGTAATCCCACCCTCCATTGAACCCAATGTTTTGACTATATATGTTTTTGGCTTTGAGTGCAATCCCTGGAACATAACTCCCATGTAAGTTGTGAGCTTACTGTAATTTCCTTCCCTTTTGTTATAACCCTTTGAATATAACTTGGGAAATTCTGAATTAAGATCCCTAAGATGAGCTGCTAGGCTTAATCAGTGGTGACCAGCCTAAACTAGTAGTCCAGAAGATTTTCCTGCTGCCCAGACACGTGGAAGCTAAAACAAAAGTTTGCCACAAAAGGGATTTCTTCATAACTAGTATGTTCTTTCCAGGATGCCTGCAAAACTGCAGACATCACTGACATCTAGTGTCTTGAAGGCAGGATCCCTGCTGACTGTTTAATCTGTGATTTTGTGATTTCTTAGGATGGGCTGATTCTGTGCCACACTTGCTTTAATTTGTGCATTAGATTTGTTGGTTCTATACTCCTGGAGGAGAACGTTTATTGAGCTTTTCTGTTGAACCTTTTCCTAGTTGCTTTTGCTTTCTGTTTTATGACGAGAGTGCACATCGATGCTGTCTAGATGCTAAGAGTACTATGGCATTCTGATATGTCGCTCACAGCAGCAAGTCAGAGTAGTTCAGACTGTAATGGTAGGAGTTCTACCCATACCATTAGCCAAAGGTCTACCATGTCTACTGAGCAACCTAACACTCAGCTAATAATCAAAATAAGGTTTCGGTGTGTGTTAAAGTAATGTGAGAACCTGAATTATACCAACTGACCAGTTAATTACCATTTGATGCTACTGTCTTTTTAGCTGTCCTATGAAAGCTCAAGAATCAATTGGTACAGAATTTGGAGTGTAGAAGAATAGATTTCACAGAAAACATCAGTAATAAACAAGAGGTGGCACTATATATGTGTGTGGGGTGTGTGTGTTTTGATGAATATTACCAGGCATTTGGGGGCAGCAAGGAAGATGAGGTGGTCCATACAGAGTTTCATGACAATTATTGTATTTTGACCTCTGTGAGCCAGATTCCTCAGCTGCACAGCCAATTTGGGTGGGAAGAGCTGCTATCCCTTAAGTTTTCTCCTTCCACACCCACAAGGCGAGATGAACCATATGGTACAATTCTGTGTTGACTTCAAGCAGCAGTGTAAAACAAAATATATTGGGGAGGGGGGGTGGCAAACTGAAGATAATGCTATAGATGTGGTGTATTTGGGCATCAATTGATGTTCCTCCTTGTTTGCATGGCACGGCTTTGCCTCTGCATTTTGAGACAATGGCTCTGTTTTCCATGCAGTACAAAGATCGTCTTGCCTGGCATTGCTTGTACTCTTTCAAAAGAGCTGGCTTGGCTTGGCTTCCTTTAATCTCCTCAGGATTACAATTGCCTCCTTTTAATGGCTATTATTGCTTTCCCTACCCTGTGTCATAGCTCTGGGTGGTTGGAATTGAACTTTCAATACATACCCTGGCAGGATTTAGCTATTTCCTGTTTTATACTTTCCTCTCACTATTGTACTTATAAAACATGGCTCACTTGAAGACCTGAATTTTATTTGTTTATGTATTTATTAATATAGCAACACGCTGGGTCTAATTCGAAAATTGTTATCTACAAGATTGAAGGATTCATTAAACATCAGTGCATATTTCCATATCTGTAAGTTTATATGGATATCGTTTTGAAATATATAAGATTTCAGGGGTCAAATATGTACCTTGGCTTTGGTTTCTTTGAAATG